AGCTCCTTAACTATTTGAAAATCTGGCTGCTTCTGGCTAACTATGCTTACCTTAAATGAAATTCTTTATGGACATTAATCTCAATATTGCATGATTTTTTGATCAAACAAGATTTTACATTTGCTTTGCATTGAGGAATAAGAATTCAAAGTGCTGTTCAAAAAAAATGTGGTATTTCTAAAGGTATTACTCAACAAGCCATAACGTACCAATTATGCAGCTACAAATTGTGTTCCAGCAGAGGGAGTAATGAAACAGAGGCTGACAGAGGATAAACTGATGTAAATCTAAGATTAATTCAACAAATCCAGTGCTGTATAAATTAACATGTCAATTCTTAGTAAAGGTTTTGAATATTGGTGAATAACAGAATTTACAGAATTCTTGATATTCCCTATGCAGGCACTAAATCTCCACTTATAATGAACAGTAAATGCCAAAACCATGGAGAAAGGGCTAATTTGTATGTTTTATTGATTGCTAATTAACAGTACTATGCTCTTGTAATTTGCCTTTTCCAGACAATTTCTGGTTTGTTAGGTATGGGAGATACATGGTCACAGAAAATAATCAAAAAAAAAAAAAAAAAAAAAAATAAAGCAAGCTCACATTCCCTCAACCCTATTTTAAGTAAGCATACCTAAATCCTTGATTATAAGTACAATACTGCTAAACATACCCCTGCAAAATGGGATAGTGTGTAAAGAACATACAAAATAAGATTAACCCTATTAGAATACAGTAATTTGTGGGATGGAAACTTTGTGCCCTATTTGAAATTTGGGTCTTCAAGTTTTAAAAGTTCAGGTGGTGATAGTAGCAGGCAGAGACAACGAAGAAAGTCTGGTCTCAGGACTGAAGTATAAGAGCAAAACAAACAAGAGGAATCAGAGGAGCCTCTGGTGAAATAAAAACCTAAAATAATGCCCTATTTACAACAGGCACTCAATAAACTAATTGTGTTGCAACTAGTCAAGGCAACCAAACTCTTAAACCAAAATAAATACAAATACCCTGGATTTCTGATGTTTCTGTCTTTCGCTATATGACTCACTTAACACAGGTTAACACCTGCACTCTACTGCTTGATATCTTCATCTTTTTCAAAGGTTTCTGTCTCTTTCTATGTCAGTAATTCATGGTCACATGCTATGCTTTACTCACCCAACACTGGCCATCTCAGCAAAGGATTCCTAACACTAAAAAATTCAAAGAAGCAGGAAGGTTTGGGGAAGTAGGTAAAAGGGCTGAAAAGCAGAAGGGGAAAAGCAAAAAAAAAAAAAAAAAGAAATTTAAAAACTAAAAAAAGTCAGATCAGATTCAAGGGATGTTTAATTTGATTACATCACTTACAGTTAAAAACCTCCAAAGGCTGTCCCTGTATAGTCAAGGCCAAATAAACCCTATTCAGCCTAATCCCCTCCCCAAAACATTCCAATCTCATAACCACCTCCCATCACCACCTTTCACTGGCCTGTGCTCCAAACACTGCTTTGATTTTTCTGTGCCTTGCCACCTGCTGTTAATTCCACCTTAAATGCTCACCATGGTAATAGAAAGAGAAAAAACTCCAAGGTTTTGTTTTTTTAATCCTGACTCTGTATCAATGACCTTGCCATGTAACTGCTGTAAACTGTTTCCACATCCAGCAAAGGGAGACTTGTTTCACAAAGTTAAGAAGATTAAATGAGATAATATACATTATATAATACAATATATGTAAAATACCAAATATAAAATACTACCACTGTGCCTAGTACGTACTAAAGCACTAAATAAGCACTTTCCTGTCTTTGTCAACATCATGTGCTGAACTCCTAATTCACTCTCAAAACCCTAGTTTAAATATCCCTGTTTCTGTAAAGCCTTCCTTAATTCCGTGCTCAATTTATTTCCCCTAAAATACTCAGTTGCCCATTCATATGTGTTTCCTCTGGTACTATACAGAAACTTCCATTTTACTTTAATTGCTTGTTCATGTGCCATTTGCTCTATTATAGAATGAGCACATCTCCAGGGTGGGATTTTTATGTATCTAATTACTGCCTACCTTAAATCTGACAGAATCATTAACGGAAGCTAAATTATCATTTGTTAAATAGATAAATTATTTCATTAAACTATTACAACTAAAACATTCAGATGGCCTTTCAAATAGTCTGATAATGTACTATTCTGTTTTCTGAAAAGAACAATCCTAACAAAGTGGAACCCTATTAGCAACAGAATTAATTTTTTAATATTTCTGCTCACTATTCATTCCTTTATTCAAAAAATGTCTCCTGTGTGCCAGGAATAATCAGTGAACAAAATTAACAAAAATCCCTGCCCCTATGGGCCTTATATTGACCACAGGAAAATCTGTCGGAGGAAAGAAGCTGTCACAACAAACTTGGCTGAAAAAGGTACCAGAAGCCACATTTTGCTATTCATCACCATTTACTAAATATCACAAGGACAAAAACAACAAACCCCTGACCACACATGAAAGTTAACCACTAAAAAAAAAAGATAGCATGAAATTAACCCAGATTTACTGTACTGAACAAGCAAAACTGCTTTTGTGTTCCTCAAAAATGCTCATGTTAGGGACCCATGTCCTTGCAGCTTTAAAAAAAATTCTCATGACTTCTCTTTCACAAGGCTAGTAATCTTTGTGAGTTTTAAGGGTTTTACACATACAGTTACAAGCTTTGCATAGATCCTAATTTGGAGTGGGGTGTTTTTGTTTGGTTTTGAATGTGGCCTGTTTCAAAGCCTGTTTCTGACCTTAAAACATTCTTCATTTTGTAAATGAAGAGGGCTTTTACAGTACTTTGCCTCAAGACTCCTATTACCAGAGGTGTGTTTTCCCAAAGTGAGATGGGCCATATCAGGACTGATTCATTCCCAGCAGCCAAAGCCAACCAGCACAGACAGCACAGAATGAGGCTTCGAGATAGAGAAGCCTTCACAGTTCCTGCACGCCAACATTTCCAATCTTATCTCCTGCTTCAACCTCTTTGTTGCATCCACCTTGTTCCCCAAGCATGCCCTATGCCTTTCTTTCTTGACTGATTCCCTCGCTCAGAAGGTCCTTTCCTCATTTCTGTTAAAATATTCCTCAAGTATCAAAATACCATTCCCACGGGCATGAGCTTCTGGCTTCCCTCTGTCAGGGATAACTGTACCCTCTCTGAATTCAACAGCCATTTCTGACAGCCTCTCTTATGGAGCTTAGCAAGTTCAACCTCCCTTCAGTCCCACTTTGCTATGCTTACTGCAGTATAAACTCCACTCCCCGTTCTGCCCACAACAGCTGGAAGGGGAATTTAAAAGGGCTCAATTTTCATGTCAAATAAAAGAGTACACATAATATCCAAATTTTTATCCCATACTTGCCATAGCTCAACACTAGGAAGCTTCCTTTAGGGATCTCTGCAAAATATTACTCAATTTCAAAAATCACAAGATTCAGGTTTACTGAACAAATCTTGCTATCTAAAATTATGTTATCTCTATGTCAGAAGGAAGAAAAAAGATCCAGGTGTCCCAAGCAGAGAATGCTGAGAAAAGAACCCTGATCATGTGACTTTAACAGCAGGTTATTTGTTGAAGGGTCCTGAAGGCACAGGTAGTTTCCATACAAAGAGGTTCCATTTTAGTTGGATTTTTGTGGTCACTTGGACTTTAATGTGCCAGCTTAACATTCTACTGAGAGCCTTGCCTTGCTTCACAAATTAATAGCACAGTAAACAAGCAAAAGGAAGGTCAGTAATGACAGACTTGGATACAAAGGGCAGCAAGCTGGGTGTTAGGCTTATGGTTCCCACATGTGGAGTTGAATAAATGACGTTTGCTTCCCTTTGGAACCCACAGAGAAAGGGTAAAAAGCACACACATCAAACAAGTGGTGAATGCACAGATCGGCAGCAGCCCTAGTTTAAAGTGCTTTCATCAAGCCCCAGCCAAAGGGAAGAAAATACTTCAACAGCACCCTAAGGGAAACAAAAAACTGAATTATGAAATGAAACATTAAAAAAGCATCAGCGGTGTGTCTTAGAAAAATTACTAGTGAGATTTAAGTCACAACCCCCCACTTTCCCTCAAAAGTGCTTTCTAATAATACTGAGCACATTCCAAATAGCTTTCCTTTGCTGAGAACTTGCCAATTGTACCTCTCCTGCTCAGCAACCCAGGTGAAAAAAATTAATGCTGGGGGGGAACCTTAACGCCTTCATTTTTGAACTAAATTGCAAACATCTATCTTGCTGGGCATTTATCCACACGGGGAGTAGCTCCTAAATGAATTTAGGAAGTGAACCTGACCTTTAATAGATAATTTGGTTCCCAACTGGAAAGCAGTAGAGGCAAAACAAAGAGGAGAATGGGTGAAAATGGATTTACAGGAAAAAGTTAGAAAAATAGAAAAGAATGGAATTCACTTGGGAAAAGGATAAAAGTCGAGAGAGAGGCAATACAAAAGCACAGAAGCAAAAGGAGATGCCATCTAAAGATAAATGATTAGAGAAGGAAAGAGGGAACGGGTAGCACACAAAAGTTATCTAAAACTTAACTCTAAAAATTATCTTACTGTGACTTTGCAACTGAATGGGTGCCAGGGTGGGAACTCTAGGAAAGGAAAAGGGCTAGCAGTGGAGAAACAAAGTGGGACAGTGCAGGAGAGACCCTTCTAAACTCAAGAAGCGGTATCAGGTTAGGCTGGATCAAGGGAAAAGCTGGTGATCAGCTGGGTTCCTGAAATTGCTTAGAGGCAAAATTCACGAGGACTGACTTGTCCGTGGGAGACCAAAGATTCCACGTGGGCTCGGGACAGCGACACCCCGACTCCCACCTCCCAGGTGAGCCTTTGAGGCTGGACTAACAGACTCTGGAGACTGGATGGATAAGTGGAGGATTCTCTGGACCTGGCGAGAACCGACGGGGACCCCGGAGGAGCAAAAGGAGTCAAGGGCGGCGACGCCGAGGTCCCGGGCGCCCCTCACGGAGCCAGAACTCACCGATGCCGAGCCCCACGACCAGGCGGCCGGCGAGCAGCGTCTCCTTGTTGTTGGCGGCGGCCAGCACCGCGGAGCCGGCGGTGAAGAGAGCGCTGGCTAGGAGGATGGCGGCGCGGCGGCCGAAGACGCCGTTGAGGGCACCGCCAGCCAGCGCCGAGACGGCGGCCGCCCCCACCGTGCTGGACACGAGCAGCTCCTGCCACAGCGCGTCCAGGCTGAGCTGCCGCTTGAGCAGCAGCATGGCCCCGGACACCACCCCGGTGTCATAGCCAAACAGGAAGCCGCCGAGCGCGGAGAAGACGGCCACCACGTACACGAAGGCGGGGGTCTCGTCCTGCTGGAACTGCCGCCGCGCCGCGCGCTCCAGGTCCCCGACGCCGCCGCCGCCCGCGCCCGCGCTCTGCAGGCTGGTGCTCGACTCGGCGGCCGCCAGCAGGCTGCGCTCCCCGGCCGCGCTCGCCGCGTCCGGCTCCTGCTGCTTCCTGCGCCGCTCGCCCATGAGGCTGCTCAGGCTCCGCAGCGTGTACTCCACATTCTCGCTCGCCTTGCGGGACATAGGGCAGGGGCCCGGGGCTCCCCGGGGGGGACGAGGCTACGCGGGCCGGCAGTCTCGGCTAGCTAGACAGCCCGAGCCGGCGGGAGCGACAGCCGCCGCCTTCCTCCTCCCGGCTTCCGCTCCTGCTGCCACGGCAGCAGCCGCCGCCACGGCCGCTCTGGGGAGAAAGTTGCTGCCCGCCGCGCTCCGGCGCTGCGGAGTTGGAGCCTGGCGTGACTCACTCCAGACTCACGCCCCGCGCCTGCCGAGCTGGCGCTGCGGAGCCGGCGGGAGGCGGGGCCGCGGGTCACGTGCAGCCCCTGGCCAGCGGGGCGGGGCTTCCGGGACGCCCCACCCCTCTATGGGCGGGGCCAGGCTCCGCCCGCCCCAGACCCTTAAACCCCACCCTCCTGGTGGGGTGTGACCTCTGACCTAGGCTGCTTCATTTAGGGCTCTGGCACCTGTGTAGACTTTATCCTGCCAGCTGGACTGAATTAACCCTGCAACGATGAAGCAAGACAATGTAGGAATGCCAGGCACGGTTTGGAGAGTAGGGAGAGAGCCCCTCAACCAGCCTGACTCGCCTTCGAACAGCCTGGAGATAGGGCTGGGAAGGGCCTGGGAAAAAATACCCTGGTGTAGCACATACCCTTCCTTTTATAGTATTGTGACATTATCTAGTGTGGTCTACTTCCCTGGCATTAAATGTGTTTGTTCTGGAACAATTCAGGACTGTGTTCTCCCATTTCCATAACTAGTTTCCTCTCTCATTGCCAGTCCCTCCTCAATTTATGCTTATTTTAAAGGCATGGTACATCTTGATTCTTTGAGGACAGACATAACATCTCTCCCAGGTGAATCTCAAACCTCCTTCCATGGATCTCTGATCTCTAAAAGAAAGTTCACATATATACATTCCACTCTTGTGTAACCAGGTTCCCACTGGTAGAAAGAAAACCCAAGAATCTGACGTGGGGTTTGATAGGCAATCTTCAACTCCCTCGCAGAACATGCTAACCAAAAGGAAGGATATCTTCTACCCTGAGAAATCTCCACTGTTGCCTCCATGAGGAGCTACTTTAATTGCCTCATTTGCCTGAAACAAAGCAAAGATGTTATTTGTGACCAACTTTTTATTTAACTGTTGAGTTAATTCCCAGTTGTTGGTTTGTGTTTTTTTCTCCCTCTGATTTAAATATTTTCTAAATTACTTCATATAGTTCCACTTCAGGAGAGAAAGATGACTTTGTCCCTCTGATTTGCTTTCATTTTCCAGGCTGAGAGCTGGAGATAAAGCTTCATAGGATTCTATTCCTACAATTTCAGTGCTCTTTTATTTGCCTTATTTGAACAAAAGTTTTCTTAGCCTGGAACCTATTTTTCATGCAGTCTAAAACTTTTTCCTTTTAGATAAGAGGATTTTGAACTCTCTGTTTCAATAAAAAGATATAGTAGAATTTGTCAAAATTGCTTTCATTTAGATTATCAGTCATGATTATCTCCATAATATAGCACTTTCCTTTCCAGCAACAAGGAAAAATAAATTAATGAACTCAGATAGCTTAACTGTTTAAATTTAACTTTATTGTGTAGCTTTAAAGCAAGCCTCCACTGTCATTTCTAGGGATCAGTTAAACAGAGAGAGCCTTTAGCTCTGGAGCAGTGAACACTTCAATATTCAGACCTCAGAAAAGATTCAGGTGGGAGCGCGCCTTTTTCCCTTCATACCACTGTATAGTAAAACTGCGTCCCCTGGTGGTGAGCTAATTCACATGACTTCCGAAGAGAAAGGCTCCCCAAAAAGGCCGGTGCTATGACAGTTCCCTCTTGCTGAGATGAAACAAGCTGACTTTTCATCCCAGCTGGTGTAGGGAGGACCTTGGCTCCTGAACATACCTTGCTGGAAATTCAGCCTTTGGCTCAGAGAACACTAAACTACTTAAAATGGTTCTGTTTTTAAAATATTCAGGGCATTTATATACCTGCAGTCAGGTTACATCTAAAAAGAAATGTGACATGAAAAAAAGGCATCAGAGAGTTAACCAGAGTTCTTCTTGGCCCTTGAAGGGAACCAAGTTCAATTTAGCGATAGAGCGTGAGTCTAAAATGGAGTTCCCTGAAGCCTGCCCCAGCTGCGGATTATGGTAAAATGGAAAGCACATGGACTGAGAGTCAAAGGATATTAGCATCATCACCACCATTGTTTTACTGTAGAACTTTCCACAAACCACTAGATAAGCTTGTGCCTTGTTTTTGTATCATTTGCAGAGCAGATAATGGTGCAGCAACTACTCACTGACTAGCGTAAGCGTGAAAGTATTTTTGAAATATAGTTAATTGCAATGCAGGGTAAATTATAAATATTATTATTGGTTTGCAAAGTAAGTTCTATAGTTCCAGTTTTAAGGACATTGGTTTTACAACCTCCAGGAACACTAAGGACCCACCATAGAAAAGGGAAAGGAGAGAGAGAGGTTTTAGCTATACTGCTACACATACTGAATATCAGGCAAAGACATTAGTAATTAATTCAATAGAAATTGTTGTTGTGGTGGTTGTTGCGAGGGGATGGTGGGGTTAGTAGCAGACTGTTTTCTTCATGTTTATTGGATGTTTATTTTTAATTACATGAGTAATGCAACCTTGTAGTAAAACAGTCTAAAAATAAAGTTAACACAAAAGTCCCTTCTCAATCATCTTTCCTACCATAACAGACCTCTTTCCCCAGCAATAACCACTTTACCACTTTGAAATGTACCTTTCTAGAACTTTCTCTGTGCATGTATATGTACACAGAAAAATATGGAGGTTGTTTGATTTTTGTATTGTTTAGCTTGCAAGAGATAGAAAACCCAAATCAAACTGGTTTAAACCAAAACAGTGGGGAGAGGGAGGATGTATTGGCTCTTGTCTCTGAAAAACCTGCAATAAGTTGGCTTCAAGTGCAAGTGGATACAGAATTCAAGAACCAGGATTTCACAAAGACATCCATCTCTTCACTCTGTTTCTTGCTGCTTAGGGTCCATTCTCAAATTCCAAATGGCTACAGCAAGCTCCAAGCTCTATATTCTTTTCCACTCATATCTGAGGGGACAGAAAAGAGGCCTCTTTCTCCGAGGCCCCAGCAAGCTTCTTTTTGTATCTAATTGGATCTGTCAATTATGTGCCCATTCCTGACCCAACTACTGTGGCAGGGAGATTGCAGTTAGATGACCAGGTTAGAGCCAATCAATGCCCAAATCATGAGCTGTGAAAGGAGGTAAATCACATGGGCTGAGATTGTAGGGGGTGTTCTCATAATAAATCTGCTGCACTCTTTTGCCAGAAGATAGGCAAATATTAATAAATGCTGGCAATAAAACCAACAATTTGAGTTACCATGAGTAATTAGTCAAGTAACATGGCATAAAAGCCAAATAAAGTACTTGAAGAAGGAGGGACTGGGTAAGGGAATCAAATATATTGCATGGAGATCAAAAAGACTGAAAAATCCAGAAAAATCACTAACTTTCATTACAAAAAGTCAATGGATAGTGACTGCTGAGATTCAGAATGTTTTTTGTTTGTTTGTTTGTTGTGTGTGTGTGTGTGTATGTGTGTGAGCTAAAATGAGAATGCTGTTTTGATGATATTATCTTCAGGAAACCTCATAATGCCAGAATCCTACCCTTTGGGTTATTGCTCCTCTCTGTATGTATTTTAGACAATAGCAGCATCAGAATAAATGTATTATTAAGATACAAAGGTAAGGTGTGTGTTCTCTTGCTTAGTTATGAGGTAGAAAAGGTGCCTAGGTGCTTAGTACTTCCTCCAAAATCTTGCCTTTCTTTTGACTTGCTCTAAGGAGGAGAAGGAGGAAAGAGATGGAAGGAGGGACACAGAAATGGAGGGAGATAAGAAAGGATGGTCTGCATACCCTAGTGGCCCATGCCCTATCTTGATCTGCTACTACAGGAAGTCAGGGAGCAGGAAGCATGAGGTGTTTAAACACACATTGACCCTGCCCACTAATAACCATGACCCAACCAGGAATAGAGTCTGTGACACATCATAATACCATCCCCTCCTCTTTTGGGTAGAGAGGGTTGCAATGCCTCTTCCCTCTCCCAGGCTTCTCAGAGAGCAATTTCAATTAAGAGGAAATTAGCGGAAACATCAAATATAGACTGCATTTTCTAGAAGTCTCTTGGTAAATGTAATCAAGGAGAGAGTCGTTTAAAGAGTTATCAGGATTGAGAGAAAGGGTGGGGATTAGGCCTGACATGAATGTTTATATGAATGTTTATATGAATAAACATGAATTTATTCGTATACTGAAGTGAAAAAAAAAAAGAAATTGACAATTCAAGAGCCAGAATGATTGATAGGGCAAAGTCCCAAGGAAGGCAGGGAGGATAAGAGCAGGTCATAAGGGGCCGGGCTAACCTAGCCATAGGGAGGAAAAGGGCACTTCTTCCTTTGAGAAAAAAAGGCAAGCAAAAAGAATACTGTAGTAAGAAAGAAGATGGCATCAATAACAAGAATGGGGAAAAAGTTCTGTTAAGTGGGTGATAGTGTGTGTTTGGGACGAGGGCATGGAGTGAGCCTAGATATAGACAGAAAGACTCAACTTCATGTAAGTACCGTGCACTAACCAATTGCACCACTGGAGCTGCAAGACTCAACTTCATATCTTCAGTCTGCTACTTCCTTGACTGTGTAACTTGAGCAACTTATTCTCTGTAAGCTTCAGTTTTCTCTTCTGTAAAAGAGGGATAATAAGACTGTACCAGTATTTACATGACTTCAACTCTAACAGAAAATCCATATTCAAACTGTCATAAACACTACAAAAATGTATTAATATTATTGCATAAATCTGAATGTCCAAATGTTGGACAGCATCAGGAATGGTATGATCAGTTCTTTGAAAAGTGGTATCAAGGACCCAGGTTCTATCATTTTCTTCACTCTACTATTCTTAGTGTGTTGGTTTTGCCCTCCACTGGCTTCCCCTACCATGGCAAGAGGGCTTCAACATTTCAGGTATCACATGTTTC